TTACCTGCTGGATGCTGCTCTCCAAGCTGCTGGGCTGCATTCCTGGCTGAGTTGCATTCTGTGGCTGCGTGCATACATGGAACATTTATTGGTGATGTTATCAGCCAAAAAAAGCTGATTGCTGATAATGTTAATTTTCCTCTTACTGGTGCTGATCCAATATGCAACTGATGTATCAGTGCACTTCTAAGTACAGTAAAGGTTTTTTGGTTCCCTACCCATTTTAGAAAGTCATCTTTTGGTTCTTTTTGCTCAAAAATTGAGCAGTTCCATTGCAGTATGTTCCACTTATTCTCTTTTATTTCCAGTCCATAGCTTTTACGTACCTTGAACTTATGTTATTCAAGTAGTAATAAGTAACAAATACCAAATAATTGTTTGAAAACTAAAATCTAGAGACTGTAGCTGGAATAAAGCCAGTATTCAAAAATGTGTATTTCGGAGATAAATAATTTTAGAACTGTTTTAAGTGCTTGGTTTGGATGAATGTTGCATGTTAAATAACCATAAAAAATTTTTGTCTTAGTGGAAAGAGGCAAAACCTGATGAACTAATGGACTCGAAATTAAGATGCGTCTTTGAAATGCCCAATGAAAATGATAAACTGGTAAGTAAGAAGAAAGTAAGAAATAAGGGTGATGCTATTACTGAATTCTTTTTTAAGGCCTGTAATGCAGTTTCAATTTTACATTGAATCTTTCTGTTTTCAAAATATAAGCAAATATATATTTACTAATATGCAATAATATTAAATGACAATTTATATGTATGTAATATTTATTGAAAAATACACTCAATGTCTTTGGAAAAAGTAAGGTTATATTTAGCACGCAACTAATCTTAAGTCAATGATATGTTTTTATTAATTAACATTAAATATTACTCATTTCTAACCTGTAATTTTAAATTAAGCTTTCTTTGGTTAAGAAATTCTTGGATCTCTTACAACACTTACAGGAGCATGACACTGCCCCCTGTTGTTCCCCTGCTTTACGTGTGGCAGGTTAGGATGCTGTGCCTTTGTAGTTGTGTGGTGTGGCTGATGTTGTTTTAGTTATAAGCAGGGATCCAGGTTTTCCGTTTCTCATGGAAAAACGGAAAAAACCACGGATTTCCTGACCTTTATCAGAGAAAAAACGGATTTCCCCTTTTAACGAAGATACCTGTGGATTTCCCTCTTTTGCAAAGAGCCGTGCAGGTGGCAGAGCTCCAACCTGCAAGAGCTGATTGCAGAAAGGGCAGGAAACTCTCAGCCCTGCCTGGGAGGGAGAGTGGGAAAGGGCAGGAAACCCTCAGCCGTGCCCGGGAGGGAGAATGGGAAAGGGCAGGGCCTAAGGCCACGCACTTACCCAGGGCTTAACCTCAGGCTTACTGCTGGTTCCTGCAGCCTGTGAGGTAAGTGGGGCTTGCAGATAAGGACATGGGGGCACTGTCAGGGCTGGGGGTGGCCTGGGTCACAGGTGTAGGTGACTGGAGGAAGTCGGCGGGACAGGTGTGGGGCAGAGTGTTGGTATGTGGCTGAGGGTGTGGGGAGGTGTTGGGGGAAGCCGCACATGGAGTGCACACATGGCCGGTGGCACATGGATCCAGAGCACCATGCTATTGGCCCTGCAGGTAAGCCACGCGTGGAATTGTGGAGCCCGCTCAGGCCGATAGCGCGCTGCTCCCAGTCCATGTGCTGTGGGCTGGGCTGGCTTTGCACCTCTGTGTGGCTTCCCTCAGGAGTGTGGGAAGCCACACAGAGGCACGGAATCTGCTTGGCTGATAGCACTTGGCTCCCAGTCCACACATTGTAGGCTGGGCTTTTCTTGGGGGTGGGGAGTGGGGCTAGCTCCATGCAGTCCCGGGGGAGGGGCAGAGAGGACCTGCAGACCCCAGATCTGTGCATGGGGCAGGACAGGTGTGTGCTGCAGACTCGTGCTCCCCACCCTAGTGCCCTCCCCCGGGGCCTCCGCAGTGCGCTGTGTGCTACCTGGTGTGGCAGAGCATAGTGGGACCGTGCAGAAAAGCTGCTTTCTGCTGCAAGCTCCATGCTGCCCTGGCCACACCTCCCCTGTGTGCATGGAGCAGTGTGGGTAGCAGTGCAGGGTTGTGCCCCTCACTGTTGCTCCTGCCTGCAGGGGAAGTGTTGTCAGGGCCTTGTGGTGCTCGCAGAGGCAAGCAGCTTTCCTGCGCGTCCCCTCTGTGCCCTGCTGTGCTGGGTTACGCATGCTGTGCTGCGGAGGCCCCAGGGGAAGGCAGCAGGTTGGGGAGCACAAATCTGCAGTACACACTCATCCTACCCCTGCTCTCTGCACAGATCTGGGGGGCGCAGGTCCCCCCTGCTCCCCGGGAGTGTGCACTGCCATTGGGAGCCAGCCTCGCCCCTGCCTAAGCCTGCAGCAGGCAGCAGCAGTGGGGGAGCAGGCTCTACTCCTGCTGCTGCAGCAGCTGCTGCCTTCTGCCAGGGACAGGGAGCTATGGACCTGGGTCCCTATAATTTTGGCAGCTGTGGGCCCCCTCTGGCAGGACTGGGGGGCAGGGGCTGTGAGTGGGTAGCAAGGAGCACAAGCATGCCTGGGGGGCTGTGGGGAGTGAGGGGCACCAGCTGGGTTTGGGGGCTGCTGTGGGGGGAGTGAGGGGCATGAGCAGGGTGGGTGGGGAGTGAGGGGCATGAGGAAGGCGGGTGGGCTGTGGGGTGGAGGGCAGGGAAGCTACGAGGAGCCTGATCCTTGTTGTGGTAGTACAAGGCACCTGGCAGCAAGAGAGAAAGGAAAAGCCACAAAAATCACTGCAGGCAGGCTTGAATGCTGGCCGGATAAGGAAGACTGACAACAGCACCGCAGTGAAACAGATAAGTGTCAAGCCTTATTTGCTTTTCAGTTTATGTTT